GGCACGTTCTGCATGGAGCACTGGGTGTTATGCACAAACAATGAATCATGGAACACTTCATCTAGAACTAATGATGTAATGTATGGGGATTAACCTAAGAATAAAAAAGAAAAAAAAGAAGGTAAAAAAAAAAAAAAGGAATCAAGTACAGATACAAGCTACAACATGGATGAACCTGGAAAACATGAAGCTAAGTAAAAGAAACCAGACACAAAAGGTCACATATTGTGAGATTTCATTTCTATGAAATGTCTGGAACAGGTAAAACTATAGAGACAGAAAGAAGACTAGAGGTCAGTAGGGGATGAGGGAATGGACGACTGGGGAGTGACTACTAGTGGGTTCAGACTCCTTTTGGGGTGATGAACATGCCCTGGAACTAAAAAGAGGTGATTATTGCACAACATTGTGACTATACCAAATGCTACTGAACTGTACACTTTAAAATGTTAATGGTTAATTTTATGTTATGTGAATTTCACCTATTTAAAAAAAAGCATGGGCTGTAACCAAGCCTCCTGGGTTCAAAGCCCAATTCTGCTACATGATCTTGAGGAAACTCTGTGCCTGTTTCCTTAAAGGGGGAAATCTCTAAAAGAGAGGCTATAATAGTAGCCACCTTGCAGGGTTGTTGGGAGCATTAGATGAGTTAATGTCCCTAAAAACTTAGGAAAGGTGTTGGCTTCTGACAAAACAGTAAATATGCGCCATGATTTCATCACACAACCCATACCTGCTATTGTTCAGGCAACCAAGGCCAGGCAGGTTAAGGGCTTATTCAAGTTCACCTAGCATGTTCAAAAGCCGAGTCGGGGTTGGTACCCAGCTCTCTTGGACTCTAGGTCCATGCTCTTCTGCTGTTAACCATCTAATTTGATCCCTGACCAGGAATCTTGACCCCAAAGCCCCAATCCCTGACAGCAGCACAACTTCTTTCCAGTGCCCCTAAGCGTGGTCTACCTACAAGGCAGAAACAATAAAGCAACAACTGTTTTTGCTTCTTCCCAGCTGAAAGCCTTGGCCATCCTAGGGGGCTTTAGCCACCAGCAGCGTGGCAATGACTCTGAGCCAGTGGAGAGCTTTCCCTTCTTGGTTCCCATGACCATCAAGTTCTAGTCACAGAATGTCCTGCCTTGATTTAACTTGGAAATAGGAGAAATCATCACTATCTTATAATCAGTAGGGTCACCCAGAGGTTTCTGTCCCAGCAGGTAAGGAAGTGTACTCATCTGTCCCCTTGGATCTTTTGGTTCACTCTTTAGACTGCCCCCCAACATGCATCCCCTTTTCCCTGGTACAATGTAAGATCACAGGTTTTTTCTATATCTGGTTCAATTCTTATGTTTTCAAGAATAATCTAGCTTAATCACATTCCCCAGCATCTGCCTTCCTTCTTTAAGTAGAGAGAAATATGTCTATACCCATTTATGTCTAGAAATCCTTCCTGATTCCATTGTTTTCCTCAAACAGCATGAGAGTCCCAGGAAAAACCCTGGATGTCTGCCAAGAATTGGGCCCACTGGATATTCAATATTTAATCAGATCATCACAAGCAGAAGATAAGGAAAGTCGTCCCACAGGAAATATCCAAATTCCAGGCTCTTACTTTCTGGACACAGAAGAGCCCAAGTAACCTGGCCTCCCCATGCCCTGCCTTCCCTCCACAGCCAATCCCAGCTTCCTCCAGGACTGTGAGGTCTGTTCCAGGGAGCAGATCCAATTTGGCAGTTGTGAGAAGAAATTAGCCCTTCCTTCATGCATACCAACATTTGCACCTCCAGAAAACCAAGTCTGAAGCCCCAGGGTAGCCACCTGGAGCAACAATCCCCCAGAAGAAGTAGGCCAACCAGAAGAATATTGGGGGAGGTCTTAAGATCACTTTGATGCTCCTGGCAGTATCCATTTGTAGAACTTATCAGTACCTTCCCTCCTTCCTTCCCAAGGTCGCTGGATTGAAGATCACGGAGTCATTCACAACATGATGTTTAATACTGAGACAAAATGGAAGTTCTCCTTCAAAACAACAAAGAATAAGACTGAGTGGTGGGACAATGGTGTTCTCCCCCTCTGGATCACAGCCCAGAGACAGGTACTATCAGAAACCCTGGGTTGGCTTCCAGGGACATCGCCTCTCATTCCTCAGCATGTAGGATGGGGGTTAGAAGCTGTGACCTTGAGAAAGTGACTTAACTTCTCTAAACATGTTTCCCTAAATGTGTAATGGGAATAATGATATGTGCTTATTTAATAGATTTGATATAAGTATTAAATGAAATATGCATTTAGCCATTATCGATGGATGAGTCTCTGAGGACAGAGTCTGGCTTAATCATGATTGCACCTCCAGGGCTCACCATACGGTCTGAACTCAGCAGCTTTTTCATAAATATCTGTTTATACACTTGCCTCAGACTTAAGCATAAAAGCCCTTAAGAATGAAGTTGACCATTTAATAAATCTTCAGATCATGAAAAGCTCTGAGAACATTCACTTGAAAGGATTCCAGTGGCCACTTACTATTCCTTCAAAAAGGCAGAAATCAGAGCTGCATGTTTAAGTCCTAGCTCCAAAACTGCTGTCAGCTTTGTATTTTCTTAATCAGCTTCACAGTCTTCACTTCGGAGTAGAACCTCCTCCTTGTCTTCCCCAAGACACCAACCTTTGCTCCAAAGATCCCCTTGGCACTGGAGCTTCATCTCTGTGCTCCAACATACACTGGGTGTGTCATGCTACAAGGTGGTACTGTTGCAGCTCAGCACGCAGGCTGTGGACTTAGACTCCTGGAGCAGGATCTGGCCAGCTCCACCTTTCTCCAGCTGCGTGACCTTGGGCAAAACCCTCCTTTCTGTGCCTGATTTGCCGCACCCATAAAATGAAGTTTTATCAGAGTCCCTGCTTCTTTTTTTTTTTTTTAAAGATTTATTTATTTATTTGAGAGAGCAAGAATGAGAGAGAGTACATGAGAGGGGGGAGGGTCAGAGGGAGAAGCAGGCTCCTCTCTGAGCAGGGAGCCTGATGCGGGACTCGATCCCGGGACTCCAGGATCATGACCTGAGCTGAAGGCAGTTGCCCAACCAACTGAGCCACCCAGGCGCCCCAGAGTCCCTGCTTCTTAAGCCCATTGGGAAGTTTAACTGAGATAATGCATGTAATATGCTGAAAACTAAATGTTCAAAAACTATTAGTCATTAAAGGAGTCTGAATCATTTTAGCACTTCAGCTGGTCACTACAGCTCTAAGCCAGAACTATCCAATGGAACTTTCTTTGATGATAGACATGTTCTGCTGTGCACTGTCCAACATGGAAGGAACTAGCCACATGTGGTTACTGAGCCCTTGAAATGTGACTAGTGAGACTGAGGGACCAAATTTTTAATTGCATTTAATTTTTTTTTAAGATTTTATTTATTTTTGCGAGAGAGAGAGAGAACAAGCAGGGGGATCAGCAGAGGCAGAGGAAGAAGCAGGCTCCACCCTAAGCAGGGAGCCCGATGCAGGACTGGATCCCAGGACCCTGGGATCATGACCTGAGCTGAAGGCAGACGCTTAATTGACTGAGCCACCCAGGTGCCCAACTGCATTTAATTTTTATTAATTTCAGTTTAAATCTAAATACCACATGTGATTAAGGGCTACTATATTGGACAACATAGCTCTAAATGAATCACAGGGGGTTGTCAATGACTCTACCTCAGCTTCATTTTTCCCTTAACTGTTGGGCTCTAGATTCCTTCCTCTTCTGTCACATTTTTTTAACTTTGAGGCAGAGACCATGCAAATAAATTCTGTCCCCCCAAGAAAATACCATGCATAACACCTTCTATGTGCCTAGTACTGGTTTAAGTGCTTTACATTTATTAATTTATGACAGTTCTTAGGTGGGTGTTACGATCATGCCCACCTAACAGAGCAGTGCCATAATTTCTCAAAAGTCACAAAGCTAGCAAGAGGCAAAGCTAAGATTTGAACTCACTCTGGGTTCAGCAACTCTTAACTCTTAACCATAACATAATATTACTTCCTTGGCCAAAACATTTAACCGTGGATTTCATAATGAATCACGTATTTGCCTTGCTGCTAGGGAGGTCTAGGCAGTCTTCATTAATTCACTGTTCAGAACCCAGGGCCTCTCTAGTCTCTTGCTATGGTATTTGTTCATTGGCATGAAGCTTCTGGTAGCATTCTTTCCTATAGTTTTTCTTATTCATGGTTCTTGTCTCATTGCCATTTATTTTCAAGACATTGTCTCCTGCTCAATTCATAATCAGAGTGTTCTTCCTCTTTGCTGAATTCATATGTGGTTGTGCAAAAACAGGATCTGGTGGAGGGCCAGACTACTGACAACACGCCATGAGTTTGGCAAGTGAAAGTCAAGCTGGTATATCTCATTCTACCATTGACATCTCCTGCCATGGGACAGGGCCATTGGCCAGCTCCTCGAGGAGTTGGCAGGAAAGCTGCTGCAATCAGAGCAAACCTGTGGCCCCAGGTCAGCCCCCAGTAACAGCATACCAACTGGCCCTAAATGTCATTCAGGGGCTTATCTATATTACCAGGCAGGACTATAGGGGAGTGGCCTGACCTGTATCCATCACTGGGAAAATCCATCCTTCTCCTGAGTATCTTCCAGGCGGGCTTTGTGAAGACTGATGCATTCACCTTTAATAGGACTAAAATGTTTTCCTTCCATGACATTAATGCTGCCAGAGTCCATTAAGATACATAAGAATTGACATGCCTTGTGGATGATGCCTAAAAGATGGGATTCCTGGCCACCTTTGAGTGCATTATTCACAGTCCAAGAACATATCCACACTCCAGCAGGACTTCACTAATGGTCAGGGTATGAACGGAGAGGCTCCATTTAGAGCAAGCTCAGATTTTAAATGAGCATGCCTGATAACTGAACATGATTAATGGCTGAAGTGGTTCACCAAGTTCAGAAGTCCTAATCCTCAGAGAAAGGCAGGCAGCCATGACTTTAAGGCCCAGGAAAACCATAAAAACCTAGGGGCAGTGTGGGGGGAAGGGGCAACAGGGTGATGGGTATTAAGGGTATTAAGGAGATATTAAGGAGGGCACTGGGTGTTATATGTAACTAATGAATCATTGAACACTATATCAAAAACTAATGATGTACTATACAGTGGCTAACTGAACATAATAAAAAAAATAATAAATAATAACCTAGGGGCATGTTTCACCTCTCTATGGAGGAGCTATAGAGCATATTAAGGAGTGAAATGGCAGGGGATGATCTGAGTGAGATGCCCATGGCTGCCAAGAGTCTGTATCAGGACCATGGTAGGCTAAAACCAGGAGGGGATTTGGAGAAAGGGTGAGGAGGGCAGCTATGGTTTTCACTGTAAGCCAAGTCTCCTAGACAATAGCTTCCAAACTTGGAAGAGCTGTGAGCTAGGTGGTGCCAGCTGCTTCTGCCTAGAGCATTAATAACAAGATATTTCATCCCAATATTGGCCCAAACCATGTCTTTATTATGCATCATAAAGGTTCTAAGAATAATAATCTGACCTCTGAAAGGGTGTGGGAGGGGGAGAAAATAGAATCTTGGCCATCTGGCTCCTTCTGTTCAGTGACTCCTCTGGAGCACAGAAAAGCAATGAAAACACTCAGAATCAACCTTGACTTCTGAATTTCACATACATGGAATCCATCTCTTTCCACCCAATCACTTCCTAGAAGGAGGAACTAACTCCTTTCCCTAAACCATACATACTTCCTACCAAAGCACAACCATGATGAAATGTTCGAGGGCCTTCCTAAAACATGTGCACCTTGTGACATTCACTCTGTCCTAAAGGAAGAGATCAGACAAAATGCAAAACCAAACTGAAACTTCTGTTCTAATGATTAGTTCTGAGGAGTTTGGTGGACTCTGTAAAAAAACCCAAGGATTTTGCCTATAGGAAGTACCAACTCTTATTTTTAAAAAAGCAACTTAAGAGTAATAGCTACATTGATGCAACACTACACTAAGGGAGAATAATGAACCTAATAAAACCAGCGATTTTCCAATTGCTATTGCTACTGGAAACACTGATTATGCTAATTAAAGGGTAGAATAGTAAATACCCACTCTTTTGCATCCAATTAAGTGCTCAGATTATTTCTAAGAAGTATTTGTTGAAAATAGCACTTTTGATTATCACGGGTCCCAAATAAACAGAGTCGTGTGTGTGTGTGTGTGTGTGTGGGTGTGTGGGTGTGTATACACACACTCAAGCATAATTTCTCTCCGGAGCTTCATTTTTTTTTTTTTAAAGATTTTATTTATTTACTTGAGAGAGAGAATGAGACAGAGAGAGAGAGCACGAGATGGGGGAGGGTCAGAGGGAGAAGCAGGCTCCCCGCAGAGCAGGGAGCCCGATGTGGGACTCGATCCCGGGACTCCGATCATGACCTGAGCCGAAGGCAGTCGCTTAACCAACTGAGCCACCCAGGCACCCTCTCTCCGGAGCTTCTTTCATGGAACAGTATAACTCTTAAAATCCCTATGGGGCAAAGTGAAAAAAACCACAGTTTCCTAAGACTACAGCTTGAGATATCTTTAAAGAAGGTGTGTGTTGAGAATACAGCACAAGAAAACAATTTCAAGTTGAGAACATCTGAGATTTAACATGCAAACATCAAAAAGTCAGCTGGATATGCAGAGCTGCCTAAGTCCCTCATAATGTCAATGTCAGCTTATACTAGATAATAAAATAGCCAGTCAAACTATGTTCTACAAAATGTTGAAAGTTTTATCCCTCCAGCCAATTCCATACTTCAGAGCAAAGTCAATTTATATGTAAGTTAAACAAAGTACCACCGCTAAAAACTGAGAATTATGAGTAATGCCAATCAGAAATGCAATAAATAAATATTAGAGGATTTACAAGTTAAAACAACCATAGAAATTCTATTATCAGAAATGAAAATGTGTTGCCTGAAGAGATTACAAATAAGATGTTAGAACCCAAGAAAGAAAGAGCTTCTGTAACTATTTCCATAAGTTAATCAGGAGTGAGAATAGGATGGGTTTTGAACCCACAAAAGGAGATGTGATTCATGCATTCATTCAACATGTATTTAACCAACAATTACCACCTACACTGAGCCAGGCCTGTTCTAGATCCCAGGAAAACGGTGGTCAATAAAATCAACATGGCCCCTGATCTCATGGAACTCACATTCTAAGGGAGGGAAATAGACAGTAAACAAGAAACATATTAAGATAATTTCAGATTGGGTAAAGTGCTTTAGAGAAAATAAAACTAAATCACATGATAGAAAATGAATGCTGGAGGGCAGAGGGCACAATATTTCACCTATAGCAATGGATAGCAGAGCTTCTGGAGCCCTGAAAAGAATACTTTGTATTAAGACCTCTATCTTCGGGTGCTTAGGTGGCTCCATCGGTTGAGCGTCTGCCTTCAGCTCAGGTCATGATCCCAGGGTCCTGGGATTGAGCCCCATGTTAGGCTCCCTGCTCAGTGGGAAGTGTGTTTCTCCCTCTTCCTCTGCCCCTTGGCCTGCTTGTGCTCACACTCTCTCTCTCTCTCTCTCAAACAAATAAATGAAAATCTTAAAAAAAAAAAAAAAAGATTTATATCTTATTTCAAGTTTCCTAAAAGCAGAGCCTGAGGCAGGGATTTGGTGCATATAAGGCATTGAGGGAGAGTTCTCAGGAGATGGGAGTGAGGGAAACTGACTGGGCAGGGATTGAAGAAGATAAGTGAGTTGTGGTTGCAGTTAGAGACCAGCTTCAGCCTAATCCCACAGACAGCTCTGGAGCATGAATTGCACCCCCATGCTATCCCACTCTGAGGCAAGGAAGCTGGTCTTTTGTCCTCCCATCAGTCAATCACTGGCCAGAGGCAGCTGGGAGTGAAGGAGCAGTATGGAACACCTTCCCAGGTGAGGCAAGATTTGGCCACTTGGCTGAAGGTAATTTTCCAGAACATGGAGCAGCTGAAGTGAATGTGAGTGCACTGGCCCAATAAGGGGATCTAGGTAGAAAACCAACAGCGTCCCCTACAACTTCCAAATTGCTTTCCTGCTTTTCTCTCTCAAACAGTACATTGGAAGTTTTGTCATTACTCTTGGTTATACTTTTCTGCTTATTTATTGACCAAATAGCCACAGTCCAGGTGCCATTATCCCCAAATTCTTCCTGGTCATTTATTCTCCATACCAAATCAACATAGTGACACCAACACCATCCTTGGTTTTACTAAAACCAATGAACTTTTATGTTTTTCAGAACATCCAAATCTTGGGTGATAGAGGAAGTGTCACAGTACAGCCTTCAAGTTAATAGCTTTGCTGAGGCAAAGGAAAGTACTTGCTCCCCAAATAAGCAGGTCATTCATTCATTAAACGAAAAATCCATTGAGCCCCTACTATGTTCCATGTCCTGGCTGAGGAGCTGCTTTACAACAGCAGGACTTATTTAGTGAGATGTGTCCATCTCATTGTTAACTCATTGGTGAGCAAACATAAAATTATTTTTTTTCCTAACAATTTTACCAAATTTTGTCAACAGCCACCTTTCTGCTGGGGGGATCATTTAAGAATATTTCCATTACTTTGAAATCATGTGTGTTGTTAAAACAACCTGATTTCTGGTCCCAAGCTTTCCTCTAGCCCTTACTCCTCCTCTCCAAAACTCTCAAGATCAAATCTCTTTGGCTCTGACTGGGACATGGGCCCAAGGCTGAACCAATTTCTGTGGCCAGTGGATGCAGTGTCCTCTGATTGGCCAGGCCACAACCACATCCCACCTCTGGAGCCTGATGTGTAAACAACACATCCCAAACCAGCCATGAAGCAAGGGCATAGTCTCTAGGGGAAGTCAGGGTTCTCTGAACCAGTGGAGGGGGAGTGGGTGCTAGGCAGGCAAACATATTAAGTGTTCAGTACACACATCAGGGAAGACTTTGTGGTGGTTTCCTTTACCTGGAGGCAAAGAAAAGAGTGCCTATCACATGCCAAAACACAATCCCCACCACTTTATCTTAAAGTTATCTGGCTTAATCCTCACAAAAATAATATCAACTTTTTGGCATTTTACATAGAAACACTGAAGCTTAAGAAATTAAAGAATTCACTCACCATCACCAACATAGAAAGTATCATTTTTCCTCCATTCCAAGGAACTTTTTCTTCATCTCGCCATCTCTGAAGTTGGAGTGCATCTTACAATCAGTGGAGTGTCATGGTTTAACTGGCAGCATTTTTCTTCTAGTAGCCACATAAAATAATAGCATGTCTTGCAACTAATGGTGTTATAGATTCGATGAGATCCTGGTGAAGCCAGGAATGAAGTCCAACACCATCTGACTCCAAAGCTCACATGTTCTCTATGATTCTGGACTAGGGCAGAGACATCAACAAGTCAGGTTTTACTTATTATGAAAAAGATATGAGAAACAGCCCTGACAGAATTTTCTTCTTGTGCTTGCAGGGGAAGAAGACAGCATCATTCCACTATCCTGGAGGAGGTGCGAAGTACAAAGGGGAGGCTGTCCAGCGGTTCCTGTTGGAGTCTTACACTCACCCAGACAGCAACGAGAAAGAGTGGAGGGAGAACATCGATATTGTCATGAACTGGTTCACTAAGGAAGACTCTGACTTTGTGACTCTGTACTATGGAGAGCCAGATAACACGGGACACAGATTTGGGCCTGAGACGGAGAACAGAAGGGTGATTATTCAGCAAATCGACAGAACCATCGGGTACCTGGTGGAAGCCATTGAAAGACACAGCTTGATCAATCACCTCAATGTCATCACACATCAGACCACGGCATGACCACAGTAAAAAAGAAGCCCAACGTCACTGAGATCCTCTTGACTAACTACATCAAGTTCAGGGACTTGGTCAAGTTTGATATCGTGGACTATGGTGGCTTTGGGATGCTCCTGCCCAAACCAGGGCAAGAGGAAGCCGTTTACCAAGCGCTGAAGAATGCACACCCTCACCTCAATGTGTACAAGAAGGAGGAATTCCCAGAACGCTTCCATTTTGCTAAACACAAGCAGGTCCTGCCAATCGTAACGTATGCCGACTCTGGTTATAACATCAATGGGGTGAGTTGATTCTAAAATGAATAAAGTCATCTTGGGTCTGGGAGACAGCCTCTAGAGAGAAACAGTTCTGAAAAAAATTAAAACATAATTTGTAATCCACTGCTTCCTAAGTGTTCCCCACCCCTAACCCCACATCCCAACCAACAACCTGTCCTATGTCACCACTATGCAAAAAAACATCCCTCCCTGACCAAGGCACTGTCCAGTGCTGTACTAAAATTTTCACATTAGTTATTTCATTTTTTGTTTTCCCAGCCCCTAAAGATATTCTTATCTCCCCCATTTTAATGAGAAATAAACCAAAGCTAGAGAGAAGTGATTTGGGATTAGAAGTATAAGGCTGAAGTTTGAACCCAAGCCTGTGTGCTTGATCGTTATGCACAGATCACCAGTAGATTCACCAAAAAAAAAAAAAAGCTGCTGGTTCCCCTTTGCACATATCAAAAATAATAATAATAATAATAATAATAATAAGCAACCCTGTTCACAAACAAAAATATACACAAATGCTCATAGCAGCATTATTCATAATAACCAAGTGAAAACAACCCAATTACCCATCATTTGATAAATGGATAAATGAAATATGGTATATCCATACAATGGAATATTATGTTGCCATTAAAGGAACAAAGTACTGATACATGCTATAACTTGAATGAACCTTGAGAATACTATGATCACTGAAAGAAATTAAATACAAAGAACTACATATTGCATGATTCTATTTAAATGAAATGTCTAGAATAGGCAAATCTATAGAGACAGGACACAGATTGGTGGTTGTCTAGAGCAGGGGGGGAGATGTTAGGGGAAAATGAGGAGTGACTGCTGAAGGATACAGGGTTTCTTTTTGGGGTAATGAATGTTCCAAAACTGATTGTGGTGATAGTTGCACAACTCTGAGAAAAATTTAAAAATCATCAAATTGTGCATTTTAAATGGTACATTGTATGGTATACAAATTGTATCTCAACAAAGCTGTTATGAAAAAATAAGCAAATCTAAAGAAGAAAATACCAAAATCAAGGCTAATTGTAAGACATAAGTAAGGTAGTCTGGTTTTTGTAAACTACCAACGAATAATTCATGGCAGAACAAAGTTTAGGTGATATCTAAACATCACATGACAGAAGAGCATCCCACGTATAGCTTGAAGAACGCTTGTCCTAGGCTACGGACAGGAGCTGAACATTATAATCATGTCTGCAATCTGTATACTCTTGTATTGCTACAAATTCAGAGTATAACAGGTATGGGAAAACTCTTAAGGTTATTGTTTAATGTTGGCGGAAATAGTCACAGTAAAATGCAACAATTTATTGATATTTTGCTATCACTCACACGGCCCAGATTACTGAGGATGTGTGCCCAAAGCTAAGGTCTTGCCAAGAAGAGATTCTACAGTCACTGGCCTCTTTGTAAGCCTGGTTCATGATGTAACAAGTTGAGAGTGATGTGAAGGGATTTAATGCAATACTCACATTCCCAACATAACCAACGAGGTTTGAGGGAATAGGCAACCTTCTGAACTGACCATAAGGCAGAAGAAAATGCCTCTCACTGAGTATACTTCTCAGATCCCCATCCACCTGCCTGCTTTGATGTGCACAGTGAAGTAGTTGTTACTCTTCTCTCTTCAGGATTGAGGAGCTTGCAAAGCACATGAGGCCATCACCGGAGGCACTATGTCTGAGCTTATTATTATTGTCAGTATTATCTTCTTGCTGTGTCTAATGGGTATGCTTTCTTTATTCTCTTTCTTTAAAGATCTTTCATTCCTTGCTCTTCTTTTTGGCACTTTAGAGCAGGGTCCTTCCTTGTCGTTAAATTTTCAAAGATTTCATGGATCTGACAAGCATGACAACAAGGGACAGTTTTCTTTCAGGAGATTGGAATCTAAAATGGTTTTTTTGTTATTATTTTTCAGCGATTTATAATATATTTCAACAAAGGAGTTCATGGCTTTGATAATGTCCACATGGACATGAAGACTATATTCAGAGCTTTTGGGCCAGATTTCAAGAAGAATCACCTAGCTGAGCCTTTTGACAGCATCCACATCTACCCACTCATGTGTAAGCTCCTGGGGGTTACCCCTGAACCCCACAATGCCTCCCTGGCAGTCACCCAGGAAATGCTTGTGGACTCATATGACCAGCAGCCAGGTGAGATACAAAATCAACCAACAGAAAATTGATAGTGTGTTCTGTCCTGAGAAAAGAATCAAAAGGTGGGGGTGGGGGTGGCAGAATAATCCTGTTTCCCTGGCAGCTTCAGTGCCCCCAGGGCAAGATAGCAGCAGCTCTAAACAGATAGAGGAGGAAGTAGGGAATCCCTCCACATGTTGGCAGCATTTCATATAGTGCCTTTGGGGCAAAAGGAAGGCTCTCCATAGAAAACATCAAGCAATAATCCTTCTGATTCTCAGAAATCGCATGCAGTCTGTCCCTTGGTGCCCCTTCTAGATACAGAAAAGCAGCCTTCCTTCAGCAACTTAGTCCTTGCTGGTGCCTGGAAGAAAGCTGTTCACAAGGGAGGAATGAAGCCTTACTATTCCACTCACTGCTGAAAAAAGGGGAAAGGAGGTGGTTCCTGTAAATAAGGTTGCTAATTCTTAAGACTTCAAAATCTTAAATCTGGATGATATAAAGGAAGAATGGAATCATCTCTGAGAATTCAGTTGTTTGCAAACACTGGCCAGCTTTTCTTCTGCAGAGAGACTTAGATGCTGCTTGGTGATTTATTATACTTAAAACGTTTTAACTATGCTCAATTAGAACAGAGTACAAAGGACACCCTTTTTCCTTTTTCTAAGCTACTGCCCACAATCTTCTTGTGAACTTACAGGAAGCAGGCCATTTTGTAGGAATCTAATTAAATGAATGACAATTCACCAAATTATTAAGGCTTTTTTTTTTTTTTAAGTTTTAGAGTTTTGCTACAACTATTTGGCCCCTCCCCTGTCCCATAGCCCATTGGGAGCCTGGGGTAAGGTCTTTGACTGTCATCAGTTATTGATAAACAAAATGTCCCACCAACTGATTTTCAGCAAATTGGCTTTTTAGCAAATTGGTCACTTGGCAAAGTGGTCATTAGGAAAATGGGTCATTTGGCAAATAGGTCATTTAGTAAATCGGCTTTCAACGACTTGCCCTACAAGGTTTCTCTACAGTGAGCACTTTCTTGGGTTAAATGTACATTTCATTTCCATAATTAATATTCACCAGAGCCTGGATGGAAAACTTCCCAGGGACCCAGGACCAGCAAGAACAGCCTCTTAATAATCAGACAATTAAAAACCATCTGATATTTTATCAGGAGCAGAGACACAGAGGACATTGGCTCTCCAAAGGACATCATTTGGTCTCGCGATTGTCACAGGAGTTCTTGCAGTTCTGTTTGTTGCTAGCGTGACATACAGAGCCATTCGCCGGAAAAAGAAGTGAGTGTTCTTTGGGTTTCCTATGGTTAATCAGTGCACATTGTAATAATCCACTTCAACCACTTGCTGCATGCCAAAGGGGATCCAGCACTTTGAGAACCCAGCAACCAAGGCCAGGTTCATGACTTGTGACCTGAGGAATCACTCAAGGCCCAGGGCTCAGAAAAGCCCCCAACTTGGTTTAATAATCTACTGGCACCATTTCAGAATTCTTGATTTTTTTAACAAGGACCTGCATTTTCATTTTGTACTGGGCCCCCCAGATGATATACCAGTTGTATTAGTTTTCCACAGCTGCCATAACAAAGTACCACAAAGTAGCTGGCTTAAAACAATAGGTATTTATTGTCTCACAGACCTGGAGGGTAAAAGGCCAAAATCAAGGTGTTGGCAGGGCCAGGCTCCCTCTGAAACCTGTAGGGGAGAATCCTTCCTTGCCTCTTCTAGCTTCTGGTGGTTGCTGGCAATCCTTGGTATTCCTTGGTTTATAGATGCACCATTCCAGTCTCTGCCTCCATCATCACATGACCATCTTCTCCCTGTGTCTCTGTCTTTACATGGTGTTCTTTTCTCTTATATGGACACCAGTCATGATATTTAGGGCCCTCTGTAGCCAGGATGACTTCATCTTAATTATATCTGCAGACTCTATTTCCAAATAAGGTCACCAGTACCATAAGGTCCTAAGTACCAAGGGTTAGGGCTTCCAACATATTTTCGGGGCAGGTGGGGGACACAATCCAACTCATAACACTGGTTCTGCCAGGAATCAAAGCATTATAGAGCCCTGGTGCACCTCTTTATCTCAATAATTATATCATTAGACTGAGCCTCCTGCATTCCTTATTAAACCCAACCCTGACCATCCTTCTGCTTTAACATAGCTCCTATCTCAATAGAATGGGAGCCTCCTGAACACTATAAACAGCCTAAGGAAAGTCAGAACTTTACTTAACCTTAACTTCATTACAAAGGCTACATTTAACGTAATTTATATTTGAACTATAAAAATTTCCTATAAGTTGAAACACGACCTATAAAGGTCTCTACACCCTGAAGCAACATTTTAAAAAGAAATCAATTGGTCCTTTTCTAAAGAAACCATTAGCTATAGGAGAGATAAAGGAAAAACTTCAAGGTACTGATTAAATTACCATGCCCACAGCATAATTTCTAAAAAGCAACCATTCCATACAGTTAAAAATGTATTAGGTGGTTGTGGTGGTTGTTATTATTATTATTATTATTAAAAGCCTCAAATCCAGAAGCCGAATCTTTAATGCAGCATGTGCACATACACATCCCCTTTTGCTGCTGGCATGGCCGTGGGATGTGTCCTAAAGCTTCTCTTCATATAAACACCCCCTGGAATTTTTAGTTTTTGTGTTAAATGGCAGTCCTAATCTTCACTTACACCTGAACACACACCTATGAGGTCCTTGGGACGTTAAAAATGCCTTCAGTGCCTTGATTCTTCCAGATTCAGATCTGAAATATATGACTTTATGACCTTTGTCCCTCCCAAGAGCCCACACACCAAAATAAAGGTTTCTTCTGTGTGCACGTCAGTGCTATGGCCCACTTGGGGTCCTTTCCCAATCTACCTCCCATCTATGGCATCAGAAAAGGCTGAACCAGCCTAGATTTATTAATATCTTAAAAAATCACACAGTATTACTTATTATGGCATTGACTGTACATGCCCTTTTGCTCCTCAGAAGAAAAGCAATTAATAGCTATTATACGTGTTAACAGAATAAGCCTAGTATTTATGAGTTTGACCCTTTCCCACTGGTTTTCATTGTCTATTGCAGGCAGACAGCTGGTCAAAACAGCAAAAGTGAACAAATCTGCATGGCCCAGTTCTGAAGCATCATTCCCTTGGGACCAAGACTCAGCCCTGGTTGAGACTCATTGCCATATCTCAGATGATTCTACCTCAGGATATTGTGACTCAGAGGATTTCTACAACATCAGACCCAGAAACCATTAATTCTGTGTAAAGACAGCAATAATCACAGTCCACCCTCTTTATTTAAATCAACAGTGTTGAGGGAATAAAAGACAAATCATTCTTATGTTGGATCCTGTGCTCACTTGGTGCTGGTGTTAGAACAACAGATATGAGAATAAATGCATTCAATTAGAATCAATTCTCCTCTCTTGTTCTCATAGCTGAGCAGGGCTCAGTGTTTTTCATCTGAAAGGGGTAATAAGATTTAATCTGCCCCCTCATCTACCTCCTGCAAGTATATTTAGCAAATTAGCTCTGGACTCTTCCAAATGGAGTTTATGAGAGATGTGCTAAAGTAAACGTGTTAAGACTTTGAACACAGCTCAAACTCCAGAGGCAGCACCATGGGTTGCTGTCTATCCTGCCTTTCACTGGAGACACAATAATGCCTAATGGAAATAATTATTTTTTTTCCCTTTCTTCCCCATCCCCACCACCCCCAAGCAGCCCTCTTACTCTCACATTCCTTTCCCTACAAGGTCAAACTTCTACTGTAAGTCTTCCTTAGTTCCGGCAGTTCACCTGCACTGCAGGTATTGCCATGTACGTCTACACATATTTGTCTGATAATTAGTTCTGTGCCTACTCTGCCGCGCGAGCCCCTGACCCTCAGGGGCCACTCCTGGTTTCCCTCACAGTTGCATGCCCTGACAGCACTGGGCACGCAGTAGGTGCTTAATAAGTGTCTGGTGAAGGCAAGACTGGATGGGTTAGGGGCAGACCCGGAGGACGGAGGAGTGGGGGGTCCTGCCTCGTGCTGAGGTCATGGAGAGGACGTGACCTCAGGCTGACCCTGCCAAGCTCCTCGCCCCCTCCCCGCTCTGGAGCGCACCTCGGCGCATGGCTCCCCGTATTGAGGTCGCCGCCCAGACAGGTCACCGCGCTGTGGAGAGCACGCGGACCGCAGAGGGGACTAAACCCCACCACGGCCTCCAGGGGAACGTTTAAAATTCTGGCGGGAGGGCGCACCTCACAGCCCTGCACTCATCGTGTGGCGCCCTGGTGGGTCAGGTCTGAGAACCTACGTTCCCTCTCCCATTAACCGCGCCACCTACCCAACCACCCGGAGCGGCGAACCCGCACCTTGACTTGAAGGGGCGGCGAAGGCCTGCGGCCCCCAACTCCCCGCCTGAGGACACAGCCTTGGAGCGTGAGGGCAGTCAGGTTCCTTCGCTCCCAGGAGCGCAACAGGGAGGGGGCGACGCGTCCGTCCACTCAGTCCCCGCCAAAAAGACCCTTGTGAAAGCGCGAGAACAGAGAGAACGATTAACCTGCCCTTCGCCTGACTGGAAGCCACCAGAGAGCCGGCGCCTCCCGCCTGCCCTCTCTTGGCGCCAAAGCCCTGACTCCGCCCTCAAGCCTCAGGCTCCGCCCCAAGCCAACCCTGCCCCCGCCTCCCACACGCCCAGCCGTACCTTGCCCCGCCCCCAACCCACCTCCCCCTCCTCCGCTCACGGCCTTAGCCCCGCCCCTCTGCCGCCCCGTCTCCCGGGCAACGCTGCGGCCCCGCCCCGCCCCGCCCCGCCATGGCGCCAGAGGAGAGCGCGGAAGCTGAGAGCCTGCTGCCGAGTTTCGAGCGCCGCTTCCTGGCGGCGCGCACACTGCGTTCTTTCCCCTGGCAGGTGGGCGGTGGGGCGCGCGGAGGGCAGGCGGGAGGTAGGGCGGGCGAGGGGCGGCTGGGGGGGGGGGGGGGTGGGGCGGGCTCCGGCGCCCGACCCCTTCCCCCCTGCCACGTGATATTTTCGGCTCCCTCGCATGAACGGGCCGCGCGTCGGGTCCATGTTCCCCGGGCTCTGCGGGGGGCCGCGCGGGCTGGCGGCGGGCAGCGGGGGGCACACCTGCGCGCGCTTGGGGAGCCCAGCCTGCACTAGGCCTTCTGCTCCCTCCTCCCCTGTCTCTTCCCGCCCTCGACTGCCTCTGCACACAGAGTCCACGAATTCAAGGAATGCGGCGTTTCCTCCTAACTCCCTTTGTCACTCGGAGTTAGGTCAGGGACAATTCACGATAAATTTCATTACTTTTTTTGTTTAGCTAGTTGTCATTCTAGCCATTGCTGCTGCCCATTTAAACAGTCAACGTCCTCAGGACACCGGGAGACCAATTGCAGTGAGCGCAGTGACCAAGTCACAGACGCCCACACCTCCCTCCCCGGCCAGGCCTCGGTGTTCTCATCTGTACCGTCAGCATTGGACAAAATCCTCTCAGAGGCAGTTTGAGGCCCTTATGCCTGTGATGGAAGAGACAGGGAGGTACAAAACAGGCCAGAAGAGAGAGGAAAGAAGTCTCACCTCCCCTGCCCTGGAGACCTGCACAGGCAAATGACCATGGCAGCAGCTTCCTTCTGCCAATGCAGGGGCTCTAATGATGCTGCCTCCTTCGTAATTCATGTGCAGTGAGCTCATTGGGATGACTCAGATTGGGTACATACTCCTCCCCCCAAGTCTGCCCCATCTTAAGGGGTGGTGGTTAGTCATTTGTGTCTCATTGACCTAACCCATTTAGCATTCTGAGAGATCTTTCCAGTCAGAAAGGAATATGTAATTTTTTAACCCAAAATGTAAACCTTCATAATAGCATCAGTGGGTCCCAATTCAATATCGACTATAATTATTCACATGAAATGAGTGCTTACTCTGTACCAGGCCCATGATAAATGCTTACTTAGACTGGCCTACAACAGTCATGCAGGGGGTACTATTAGTACCATTCACATTTGACCAGAAAGATTGCTTGATTAGTAAAGAAGTAGAGTGTAGCAGGGGGGAGCTCAGGCCTGGGATCCAGCCTGCCTGTTTTGAATCCTGGCCAACCCCCATACAAGCCGTGTTGACCTTGGGCAAGTGACTACATCTCTCCTATACCTTAGTTTTCTTATTAGATGGGGAATACAGTGATGGTGCTGGTGTCAGAATCACAGGAGATTGAAGCACCTGAGGCAGTGTCTAGCTCGTGGTAAGTGAGGTAGGTGTTAGCTAGTATTTTTATTCCATCACCAAATATTTACTGAATACCTTCCATGAGCCATGTGCCAGGAATCAGCAGTACACATTACAGATGAGGCCCTGCTTGGATGGGAGAGCCAGAGAATAAACAGGTAAATGAATAAGCAAGAAAACACCAGGAGATGACAGTGGCCGTAAAGTCAATAAAACAGGGAAATGTATCATCAAAGTAGGGGAGTCAGGAAGGCCTCCCCCAAGAGGTGACATTTGAGCCAGAACCTGAACAGTAAAGCAGCCAGCTGTGGGAAGGCCCTGCCAGTGAGAACAGGCTGCTGCAATTGAGGAATGGCAAGGAGGCCAGGAGTGGTGGCAGATAAGGTCAGAGAGAGGGGCAAGGGCCAGGGTTTATAGGCCTTTTAGAGCCTAACTCACTCTGGAGAAATGAAGTGATTTGCCTGATATCACACACCAGCCAGGGCCAGTCTGCCTACTTCTAGAGCCTGACCTCACTGCTGGCCTGGAGTTCTCTGTCCGAGAAGACAGCATAATCTGGCCTGGCCTGTATGTCCATTTTAAAGATGTCAAGTCCAAGGTGAGCCCATCAGGTGTCAGTGTCATGGCTCCTCCTGTAATTCCTGGTTGGCCATTTCAGCCACGGAGCTGCTCTGTGACCCAGGTGAGCCTAAGCAGCCAGGGCTAACACAAACCAAGAGTCTGTCTTCTGATGTTCTTTCTTTGACTCATCCAGGTGTGTAACCCAGGACTTCTCAAGTTCAGGGTTTCAGCCAGCCTGTGGCTTCCCCTTCCACTTGGCCCCAGGTCCCTGGGGAGAGATCACTTAGCACTTTGCTAACATGTCCTATTGCATGTTTAATGTTCCTGTGAAAATGCCCTTGAGATTTCTCTCTCTCTCTCCCCTCCGCTCTCTCTCTGAATAGAGCCTAGAAGAGAAATTAAGGGTCTCATCAGGTCCTGAGCTGCTGCTGAATATTTTGCAGAAGGTAAGAATCAGAATCACTGGGTCGCGTCACCAGCCTCCTGACTCACCCATGAAGACATGACAGAAACACAGTGGGCGCACTTGTATCCTTTAAAAAGGAAGACACTGCATTTGGGTAGCAGCACCTCAGGCAGCTCTGGCTCTGTTGTTTTCTTAGATGACGACATTAGAATATACAAAAATCTGCATGAGAGGAGGGAATCTGGGAGATGTCTTTGAAACTATCCACAATGAAAACCAAGATGACAGCTATGGGAACATCTTCTAGCATTTGGTAGCTGCTCAAAGATTTTCTTCTTTACATTTACATTTAAGGAAAAAATAAGGAGGCAAGTCTTGCCCACTTGTGTCTCTTCTTTTTTTTTTTTAAAGATTTTATTTATTTGAGAGAGAGAATGAGATAGCATGAGAGGGGGGAGGGTCAGAGAGAGAGGCAGACTCCCTGCTGAGCAGGGAGCCCGACGTGGGACTCGATCCCGGGACTCCGGGATCATGACCTGAGCCAACGGCAGTCGCTTAACCAACTGAGCCACCCAGGCGCCCCACTCGTGTCTCTTCTAGATGTAGATATGCCTGCTTTTCTGAGGTAGGGTTTGAATTCTAAGGTACATCTGAGCAAGGGTGGAGGTAAGACCACCACTCTGCCTGGCCTTGCCCCACCCTGACCCTGCCATGTGGATCAAGTGGAAATCACACTGCATCCTGGCTATGAACCCTCTTGAGGATCGTGAACCCTTCTGAAAACCCAAAGCTGTAGACTCTCCTGTTCTCACCCCACCCCCATAAAAAGGAGGACCAGAAAAATACATTTTGTATATAAATTCAAGGGAGTTATAGACAGCCCTCCAACCACCAAGCCCATCCAAGAAGCCTAGGTTAAGAATTCCTGTGTGGAGGGTGAACCAAGATTGTCTGACCACCATGTAGGAAAGATTCAGCCATGGCTAGTGGAGGCTTGCAGGGCATCCCAGTCGTTTACGACTGTGAGCTCAGAGATTCTGAGGTCCTTGTGCAGCAGCCCACTCTGATTTTCATCCTGACGCTAAAACCTAACACCAGCCAACTAGAAAGCCCCTGAAGGGTTGTGTGGGTATTTTGTTGCCCTTGAGTAAAAAAATCATGTCCCTCCACATGACCTGGCCCCTACTCTCACTGCCCCTGTTGCCTTGCCCTCCCTCCCAAAATGCCAGGCCATGCCTGCTTCAGAGCCTCCACAAACTATCCCCTCTGCCTGGAACCCACTCCCCGTGCTCTTTGCTTCTCTAGACATCAGCTGAAGGGTCACCCCTGAGAGCCACCTTCCCCTCCACCACATCCCAGGCAGAGTCCCCATCTTCCTCTGTCCCAGCCATCCTAGCACTCTTCCTCAGCCTGGCATGTGAGCTCCAGGAGAGCAAGTGTCCAGTCTGCCTGTTCCCACTATTTGGGCTCTCACCTTTTCCACAGAGCCGGACAGTCCCACAATTGTCCCCACTAAAGACTAGTTCATGCTGCCTGCCCTGAGAACGGGTGACATAGCCCTTTCTAGCTGCTATAACAAAATGCCATTGACTGGGTGACTTGTAAACAACAGCAATTTATTTCTCACAGTTCTAGAGGCTGGGAAGGCCAAGATCAAGGTTCCCAAAAATTTGGTGTCTGGTGGGGGCCCACTTCTTGATTCATAGACAGCTGTGTCCTCACTGTGGCACGGCCGAGGGAGCCCTCTGGGGTCTCTTAGGGCACTAATCCCATTCATGGGAGCTTCACCTTCATGACCTAATCACCCCCAAAGGCCCTGCCTTCTAATACCATCACTTTGGGTTTTAGACTTCAACATATGAACGGGGGGGACACAAACATTCAGTCTGTAGCAGGGTGTTAGCTTGGGTCCGTGTGCTCCATATTCTACCCAGAATGTTCTGTCAGCCTGTGCCACCATAGTGGAGAAATTTTTTAGGAAAGGAATTGTATCTTAAGACTTACTGTTTCAGATGCATGAGGGTCACCTGAACCCAGAACCCTTGTGTCTATACACATCTTTTCTGAGGGATCAAGTAATGGGGGTTGTGCTGCATTCACTTGAAGCTCATGGGAGACTGACGGCGGGGTCTCTCCAGCAACTCACATTGCGTCCTTTGTCACAGACTGTGAAACATCCTCTGTGTGTGAAGCATCCGCCATCAGTGAAGTATGCCCGGTGCTTTCTCTCGGAGCTCATCAGAAAGGTCAGTAATGGGCGCTGTCTGGTAGCCAGACAGCACCTGGGACTTGGCTGGCTCTCTGAAAGTGGACTGTGCCTGGCTTTGCCTGTTGGAGCTCGGATTTGTCCCATGCCCTTTGCCTGTTCTGCAAACCCCAATATGTCAGGGGCCTCCCTGTATAACTGTTCCCAGCTGGGTTTGACCAGTCAGAGGCTATGAGGGGGCAGGAGGAAGAGAGTCCAGGGTATCTCTCCCTCTGTGCTACAAGAGGTCTCCAGCAGCAGCTGCATTTCCTCTGTGGTCCCAGTTCCACCCCCACCCCCCCCACACCTTTCTCCCCTAGCCGGCCAGCCCACTTCTGCTGTTGCTGATCTCGGATTGCCACACTGCCCTCTATTGGATGTTTTAGGTCTTCCAATACCTTGTAACTACCTCCCTTTACCCTCTTCTCCCTAATGAGCTATCTGATGTGGACTCTTCCTGACTGATACAGGATGTATTTTAAAAATGAACCCACTCTTCATTCTTCCCCCACCCCGCTATCTTCTTTTTCTTCTTCTTTTTTTTTTTAATGGACTCTGAAAAACAAACAGGGTTCTAGAGGGGAGGGGGGTGGGAGGATGGGTTAGCCTGGTGATGCGTATTGAGGAGGGCACATTCTGCATGGAGCACTGGGTGTTCTATGCAAACAATGAATCATGGAACACTACATCAAAAACTAATGATGTATGGTGATTAACGTAACATAAAAAAAAAGGGTAAAAAAAAAAAACTTGCTGGGTTTCACATTAGGCTGGACCTCAGAGAGGTGATTCCTTAGTGATCGGCATCAGACCTGCTGTGTTCGGCCACTGAATGCACGGGCCATGTCTCACCCAAGCTTAGCATGTGAAACATTCCTGGCTTCTCTGTTGCCTCCCCACCTGATTCTCCCCAACATGTGCATCTAGTCGTGGCCCGCAGGTCTCCCCAGAACCACCAGAAGCATGGCCGCCCTGCTGCTGCCCCTGTGAGGGGCACGACAGAGGCTTGCCCATTGATGAAGCCAACCATACCATGTAGAGTGCCCATCCTTGTGGCTTTTGCCCGGGCTCACTTAAAAGTGAGCATTCACAGCATCATGATGGAAGGGCAAAGCTCTCTGTCACCGTCACATGGCAGTTCATGCAGTCCCATTTCTGCTGCCCTAGACTATACCTCGCCCTTGCCCTTTCTAGACCTGAGATACCCTCCAGCTTCCCTACCAAATGAATTTTTTGTATGCCAGGTGGCTTGTATTAAGTCAATCCATCCCAAATCTCCTATCTAGGTAAAAATCCTCCAGCCTTTTCAACAAGTCAGAGTAAAAGTGAACACATGGAACCTTTGTTTGGTTCATGAGGGTCACCTTAAATGTCTTGGCTGAAGCTTTTGCTCTGCCCACCCCCAGCATGAGGCTGTCCACACGGAGCCTTTGGACGAGCTGTACGAGGCGTTGGCAGAGGTCCTGATGGCTGAGGAGCCCACCCAGTGCCACCGGAGCTATCTGCTGGTAGGAGATGGGCACCGCCCCCACACAATCCAGACATTCACCACTGCACACAGAGTTGAAACTCAGACTCCAGTCAGCCTCAAGTGGGTGCACATCCTGACCCATCAGCTCTGAGGTCTTAGAGGAGGTCAGTTAACCACCCTGAGCTTTGGTTTCCCCTTCAGTAAACCAAGCATTTCAGTACATTATAGTGCCTCTTTTATGGGGTGGCTGGGGGTTAAGTCAGGTGATGCACATAATTGCATAGTAGAGACCTGGTGCTCAGTCCTCAGTAAATACTTCATGGATGGGTGTTACAGAAGAGCATTTCTGAATGTTTCTAGTTGCCATTAGGCCTCACTCCTGGTCCCTCACACCCCCGATGACTAGAGCAGCAAGTTCTCTCCTCCGTGGGCCGTGGTTCACAGCTGGTACCTGCATTTCCAGTGAACACTCGGCTACTGGGCTTCTGTCCTCAGGCCTGTCATGTGCCCTATGACACAGACACATGGAGCACACAAGTCTTGTGTCTATTGGTGGTTTGCCCCCACTTGTTGATATTTTGGCTTCACTTAGTTTTGTTGAATGTTGTCCATATCTCACTACTCTGTCTGTTTGTATGTGGGGATTCAGGAAGATTCAAAACCACACTCCCAGAACCCCCAGAGTGCTCCCCTTGATTTGAGAGGTAAATCAGAGCATGTCACTTGACCACCCAGAACCTTCCAGTGGCTACCCTTCATACTCAGACTCAAATCCTAGTTTCTCATGTGGCCTGCCATGCCTTGCGTGCTCTGCCCCAGCCTTCCTTCTCATCTCGTTCCTCCTGCTCTCCCTGGCTCCAGATCCCTGGCATTCTTTGCCTTCCTTGAACTCACCAACTGAAATGTTGCCTCAGGGCCTTTGCACCTGCTCTGCCTGGAATGCTCTCCTCCTAGAACCTCGCATGTCTCACTTCTCCTTTATACTCACATCCCAGGTCACATGACACATCAAAGAGGCTGTCTCTGACCAATCTATCTGAAATAGACCTCCTAGTCTCCATTATCATGTAGCCTTTTTATTTTCTTCATAGCCCTGAAAAACTGAGAAATTACTTTATTATGGTTTTATCCCCCATTGGCATGGAAGTTCCATAAGAACAGGGAATGACTTCATCCTGTAACATCTGAGTCCCCAGGACCGTAGTAGATGCTCAGGAAAAATGTGTGGATGAGTGAATGAACAAATGACTGCTCACAGTACTCCAGACACCGGAGTCTCCTATATGAGTTTTGTGAGCTCAGAGATAGCCAGAAACCACCCCCGGGTGACGGCATGTTGGAGGTGCCATGCTCAGAAGCCCCGCTTTGGAGAACACATTTCAGGACTGCATATTCCATGAAGCCCTTGCCAGCAAACCACCTGCTTTGAGGGCGATAGGAAAGTTCAAAGACCAGAGAATTCCCAAGCCCCAAATGTCAGGTCAAATTGAGGAAGGCCCCACACACTGAGACTTTCCACATATAGCTCATGATGCTAGGGAGTTGTGACTTTTTGTTGTAGTTAATAATTACAGATTCACAGAAATTGCAAAAACAGTACAGAGAGGTGCCCTTTCTCCAGATTCCCCACTGGAAACATGGGACCTAACTTGTACAGCATTACAACCGGGGCACGAGTGTACACACCGAGCCTGCGTAGGTGTACCTCATTTATCACACGTGCAGGCCCATGTGGGCACCACCACAATCAAGATACTGACCTATTCCGTTACCACAAAGACCTCCCTCGGGCCTCCCGTGTCCCCGGGCCCCTGCCAACCCCACCCTGGGCAGCCACTGACCTGTTCTCCCTCTCCACAGTCCTGTCCTTTTGAGAAGGTCAGATGGATGGAATCACACAATGTGTGGCCTTCTGAGATTGGCTTTCTTTGTGCAGCGTTAACACCCTCGAGACCCATCCAGGTGGCGTGTACAATGATAACCTGCTCCTTTCCATTGTCGTGTAGCATTCTGTGGGAGGATGTTCCACGGTCTTATCTAGCCATCCACCTGTTGTGATGTTTTTCTTTTTAAAATCAGCTCCTTGTCTCCTGGTAGCGGGATTAATTCTCTCCCTGTCTCGGCCCAGCCTTCTGGAGACTCAGTCACGCTCTCTGAGAGCACAGCCATCATTTCCCATGGCACCACCGGCCTGGTCACGTGGGACGCTGCACTCTACCTCGCTGAATGGGCCATAGAGAACCCGGCTGCCTTTGCTCACAGGTGACCTCGGGGTGCAGGGCAGGGCAGGGAAGCCGGTTTTCCCCAGCATGGTCTCAGACACAGGCCCCCTTCTCCCACCCAGGACTGTCTTAGAGCTCGGCAGTGGAGCTGGCCTCACAGGCCTGGCCATTTGCAAGACATGCTGTCCCAGCACGTACGTCTTCAGCGACTGTCACAGCTGTGTTCTTGAGCAGCTCCGAGGAAACATCCTTCTCAATGGCCTCTCATTGGAACCAGACACCACTGCCCCTGAAAGGCACCCAGGACATAATGCCCACGACGCAGAGAGCCCCAGGGTGACAGTGGCCCAGCTGGACTGGGATGTTGTGACGGCCCCTGAGCTGGCTGCCTTCCGGCCGGACGTAATCATAGCAGCAGGTACTGTCCCCCGCCCCGCCCCGCCCCAGGGCAACTGGAGTGACTCCTCCCATCTCTCAGCTCTGGGAAGGGGACAGTGCACCCTGCTGGGAGAGGAATGATGAGACTTGTAGAAGGGCCGTTGTGGGCCTTCAGGGTGACATCAAACCACAGGGGCATGTCTCTTGGATGCCCTAAAGCCACAGCCTCCCGTTGGACACAGTGGCCACATGTACTCCTATTAAAATGGTTCCATCAGATAAATGAACCCAGCTTTTCTCAGCAAAGCCTGAGATGGAGAGAACAGGCCCCACGGCACCAAAGCCGTCTAACCTATTAGCCAGGCTGCAGCTGAGTAGAGAGATTTTTATGTCCCTCTCTAGAACCTGAATGAAATGGCCACAGCGGCGCCGTGAAGCAAGGGAGCTGAACTCTAGCCCCACCTCCACCACCACCCAGTCTTCCAATGTGGGGCCGAAATGGCCCTAGCAGCCCTATCTTTTCAGGGCTGCGAGGGACAAGCATGATTCTCCCAGGACCATGTCTGATTCCTAAGCATATCACAGACACCCAGCCCTGGGCCAGACCTAGGGTCAAACCACAGTGGTGTCCGAGTCAGGAAATAAGCTCTGAGTGCCCCCACCCCTGTGAGCACTTGCTTCTATCTCTGCACATTGCTCTGTTGTCTGATGTTTGCACATCTGACCCCAAGGGCTCTGCCTGCATGTCTCTATCCTAGGTCCATGCCCCCATGTCTTTCAGATATGAGCCCCACATCTCATCTCTGAGGGAATGAAAGAGGGAGGGAGGGGACTAGCCACTTCGGGTGCAAGGCAGAGTCCTCCACCAAGCTCACCCAGTCCCCTGTCCGGCTGACAGTGCTGTGCCCCTGATCCTGGACTGCAGCCCTGAGACCCACAGGCCCACAGTAGCTGGAACACAGAGCCTGAGCAGCACCCTCCCATGTAAGCATGCTGACAGGGAGCAAGTTTGTTCCCCCTGCCCCCCAGTGCAGCTAACAGAACAGCAGGCCCCTGGAAGCAAGGACTCTGAGACAGAGAGCTGGTTGGGGTTTATTTCATTAAGCATCTTCTAAATAGACCATAGGCAAAGAATCGATTTTTTTTTAAAGGAACACCAGTGAGTCCTGGATATCTTCCATTTCTTGCAGGGTCTTTCAGCAGCTTTTTTTTCTCTCATAAGTTTTCCTTTTTAACCACATCATCTTCTTTGTGTCCAATGGCATGATTCTAATAAAACTGCTGGTTTCCAGGCCCCAGCCCTGCTGCTGAGGTCAGTACAACCAGGCACCCTCTTTTCTGGATCCTGAATCCTGGAGTGAGCCCCTTTCGGTAACCTGAGATTTTTAATTGCAGATGTGCTGTATTGCCCAGAAACTGTCATCTCCCTGGTCAGAGTCCTGCAGAGGCTCTCTGCTTGCCTGAAGGACCAGCAGGCTCCTGACACCTACATTGCCTTCACCGTCCGCAGCCCGGAGACCTGCTGGCTGTTCACCAGCGAGCTAGGTGAGCCATGGGCCCGGGAGGGGCTGCTATCTCTGCGAGGCTACCTGGGCCCCACACAGGACTCCAGTGAGGTAGAAATCAGCAACGCAAAAGAGTGGGGCCCTGAAACAAACCAGAACACACGACGTGCTGGGTCCTCGACCCACTACCCCACCCTTGGGTGGTCAGTGGAGGAGGCCGGGCCGGGGAGCTGTGCTCTGAAGGGGAAGAGGCAGTTTATGCAGCAGTTCCTAGAGGTCAGAGACCAGCAGCCCTACTGTGTGTTTAGAGCAGGTTTTGAGGGCCTTCAGGCCTGTTTCCTGGTCTGTAGAACGGAGAGGAGAGGATGGTGGATGCCAGTGGGTGTCAGGGTAGATGAGTTCTGGCCACACAGTAGTGGGGTGCAGGCTCTGGAGCAGATCCCACCTGCGCTGGTGAAGCTGGGCCGCCATTCACCTCCCCATCTTCATCTTTACGGCGGAAATACCCACCTGGGACGTGACCCAGGGACTGGCGTGCAGGGAGCACTTGGGAACATGGTAGCTGTTGCTATCACTGTATTAAGCACCCAGTAAATGGAAGAAAAGCAGGGAGGACTTTGCGGGCAGGGGGGGCTCTGCCATTTACACCCCAAACTGGCACTGCTATGGCCGGGCACTGTCCTCAGACCTGACATGTCAGCCCCTCTAGCACCAGGGACGGGTATGCTGTCATCCTCCAGTCTCACCCATGGAAACCTCGGGCTCCAGAGTGGAGCCAGGCAGCCAACACCCGCCCTCCACTCTCCCACCCCACAACCACTGGCCACTATCCTGCAGTGCCCGCCATGCGCCAGGCCCAATCAGGGCTTTCCACACACAGCCTGGCCGCAGTGCAGGACCATGTTTGCCCC